TTATTAAGAGCTATGTGAAAGATTAGTGTTTGATTTTTCTAATGCTGCTACTGCATCACTGCAGGCGTTAATGCACTCTCGTTTGCAATTAGGTTATGAGAATCGGCTTGATGGGATACAACTGTGAGAAGACCAATGCTGACAAGGCACTGCATGCCCTGGCAGATGCTCTGAAGAACTGCAAAAAGAGCAAGGCTTGAGAAATCATACTCTCAAATTACTGACTCTCTATGCTTCTATAGGATGCACAGACCAGATGGAAGATTGGATGCATCCAAGAATCCCTAAGCACTATTTACTGTAATGCTTTTTGGAGCCTCTTCTTTTATATTCTTTCTTTTCATTAAAAATAAAAACTAAACAGAATCTGCCATGCTAAGTGACTGAAGATGTCGAAAAAGTTATTTTTTTGAATTAGTAAACATGTTTCTTTGTCATTAAACTGAACATGTATAATGCCTCGATCATTTCTTTAAATATTATGTATCAAACAGATAAAACAACCCATGTTCCACATTTGTTTACACATGGGAAAGGTGGGTGGGGGTCTGGTGCCAGGTCCAGCAGTTAGTTAGAAACAGGGTATGCTCAGGTAGGTCTGCAGTCAGACACAGGGCAACACAGAGTCAGATAAACCAAACAATCATGCATTATTATGTTCATACTTTATGGTCATTTATATTTACCAATACCAAATTGTCACCAGAGTCATCTAAAAGTCATGTTTTTTGGAGAGTTGGATGGTAGAGTATCCCACAGGAACTCACATGAGCAGGAAGATCCTAAGCTAATATCTAAACCAAGAAACTTCGTGCTGCAAGGTTACAGTACTAATAACTGTTTGGACTTTACCTGCACACACACACACACACACACACACACACACACACACACACACACACACACACACATATATATATATATATATATATATATATATATATATATATATATATATATATATATATATATATATATATATATCTTTCACTTTGTATGAACACAGTTTGATGATGGGATATAAACCTTTCTTCTGATATCTACAGCCATATTGTGCCAAGAGGCAGCAGCCGCCTCATGGCTAGGAAGTTTGCTGGTTTATCTAGTTTTTGTATTAGCAGGTCCACTAAATCAGCTAAAGCGAAATACATAAAATTTCCCATTCACAAATAATTCAACCTCTTCATCAATTATAGAAGCTACTTGAAGGTGTATCCTAATTTTACTTTTCCAATTACGTTTTTTAAGTTTTTTTTCTTACTGAAATGAAAGCGCTTGCGAACTACACTTCCCAGAATTCCAAGCGGAGCTTGTTCATCAGCTACGTCAAAACTGACTTTGCTTCAATGCGGCTTTCGCTTTATATTCCTGACCTTTGTTTGTTTGTGAGCTATGGCGTCTCCCGGAACCGGTAGGTCGAGAGTTTATATCTTAATAAAAGAAGAAATTATAATTTAAACACTTCAAAGTATGCAAAATTATGTTTTAATGTCGACCGAGAGGGTGCGATAAAAAATATTTAACCTTTTCCTTAGATATGTTAGAGGTGGTTATTCATACAGAGGGTTATATGATAGTGATTGCCTGCGTATATTTACAGTCATAGTTATTCTATAAATAAATGTATTAATACATTCAATTTCATCTTTATAAAATAGGTGTCTATATCTTCTCACTGCTTAAGTCATTTTAGAAGAATGCGGATAAGCCACTTGCGACACTTTCTTTTAATTAAACTAAAGTGGAAGCTTTTTTGCACATTTTGTGTAAATGTACTTTTAAGGTTACGTAACCTAAACAAAGTCTAGATTAGGGGGGCAAGCTGGGGCAGGCATTTAAAAGATGAGTTTTCAGATTAAAAACAAGACAAAAACATTTTTTTTAGTCCACTTGTTAAAGATTGTCTCATTTTAAACCAGACCTCTTTCCTTTCCCAGCCCGCATTCTCCTTCTTCTTCTTTGAGGACTTTTTCAGCTGCCTTATCTTTTGTTACTTTACTGCCATCTTCCGGATTTAGCCCAATACAAGGATTCAATAAGTGATTTTTGTCTCCTTGTTATGTCCTAGTCAATTTTATGAAATTAATTCTCCTTGTTTTAGTATCCTCTAAATTGTGTCCAATCTTCTTTTTTATATAATATATCCCAAATGGGGGGCTGCTCAGTGGCACAGTGGGTAGCACTGATGCCTTGCAGGGGTCTGGAGTTTGCATGTTCTCCCTGTCACACGTGGGTTCTCTCCTGGTACTCCGGTTCCCCCCTACAGTCCAAAAACATGACTGTTAGGTTAATTGATTTTTCTAAATTCTCCTTAGGTGTGTGTGTGTGTGTGTGTGTGTGTGTGTGTGTGTGTGTGTGTGTGTGTGTGTGTGTGTGTGTGTGTGTGTGTGTGTGAATGATTGTTTGTCCTGTTTGTCTCTGTGTTGCCCTGCGATGGACTGGACACCTGTCCAGGGTATACCCCGCCTCTCACCCGTACACAGCAGGAGATAGGCACCAGCACCCCTCGCAACCCCGCTTGGGATATTGCGTGATGGAAAATGGATGGACTAATGATGTGTACACAAGTTTTTGTGTGCCTTTAAAGTTCCCATTCTGTAGATAGCCATTTGCCTAGTACTGTATGTAGAAAGTGTCCCGTTTCTTCATTCTATTTAAACCCTTGGATGCCGTATTTTATGAACATTCAGCTTCTTTAGAAATGACCGTTTGTTGAGGTTGTTTTTGACAGCTGTCTTCCCCTTGATTTCATGGGTTGCAATTAAACATTTCTGTATAATTTTATATTTAGTGAGTGTTATTAAAAGCTAAAGTTTATCTTTGTGGACCACTGTTCTTTGTGGCTATTTTACTTGTTGCATCGCTGCCATCATCTGGACATGTCTGTAACTACACTTTTTGTTTGTTAAATTTTAATCATTCATTTATAATCCTTTTTTTAACATGTTGTATTTACAGCTTCTGCATAAACATGATGTTGGATCCTCTTATGCAATGGAAAGTTAGCTTGAACAACATATCTAAACAGAGCTCGTCATTTTCTAATCTTAATGCCAAGCCTTCTGGCTTTGTTTATGAAAAGCAAACAACATGATTTTCTGCTTTATACAGAGCAGGTCACACTGTCACCTAATTAGAAATCAAATCACACAGGCAGTGTGTAACAAGGTTTTATTGGGACTGGACTCTGAGCTGCTTGCGTTTGTTTTCAGCAGCCGTGGAGCTGAACCCCGTCCTCCAACCCCTCAGCTGGCTGCTGGGTACCTGGGAGAGTGATGAACCTGGAGAAGGAACCTTCCCCTCCATAAAACCCTTCCGCTACACAGAGAAACTGCACTTCAGCCATGTGGGGCAGCCAGTCATCAACTTTATGTAGGTTAATCCAGCAGCAGAATTAAAACTATCCTTCCTGTTTCCTTTTGTATTTTCAGCTGATTCCTCACTTTTGTCTTTAGGTTTAATGCCTTTCATGCGGAGTCCAATAAGCCTCTACACAGAGAATGTGGTTTTATTCGAATCCAGCAGGGGACCAACAGAGTAGCCTTCATCATCGCACAGAACTCAGGTAGGCCTCAACAAATTGCAGTCAGGTCTTTTGCAATCAGAACAGTCCCCAGATATTCTAAGATGTGATTTTATTTTATGAAAACTTTTTTCAAACTTTAAAGTATGAATGAAATCCAATATTATTTAAATGCAAAAAGTTAATCTGTTGTGATTATTTCAGGTGTGATTTGACCTTTTTAAATATGTTTTACGTGCTCTGTTGAATTCATTTTTTTTCTCTTATTCTATTCCAAGTGTTCTTTTGTGGGTTTGTTTCTGCAGAGAGATCCTGTTCTTGGCTTTTTTTTTTAATGCTTTTAGTTCATTCACCCCTCTGTAGCATTTTAAGGACGGATGTTGTGTTATTGTATAGGTCTGGTGGAAATCGAAGAGGGGGAGCTGACGGGTAATCAGCTCAAACTGCAGACCCAAAGTCTGGGGAGAATCTCGTTCGCCAAGGAGCCCCATGTACAACAGGTAAAAATTATCGGCTGACTATTAAATCTGATGTTACTGGACATGAAGCCTTTCAGAACCTCAATTTTTAGCAGATATAATGCAGAAATTGTGCAGTTCACCCCTCCTATTGCTACTTTTTTCAGATTTCACGAGTCTTCCAGCTTCGACCAGATGGGAAGCTGGAGCAAACAGTTTCCATGGCAACAGATAACCATCCGCTAACACAGCATCTGCACATCATTTACAGTCGGTCATCTGGAGCCAACTAGTCTTTTTTTAACCCTGTGCTTAAAGTCCAAGTAATATATTTTGAGCAGGGCTCAGAAAACCTTTTTCTCTGAGGGTTTTTCCTTCCAGTTGTCAAGGAGTGCAAATTTGGTTTGTTGCTGGACAGGGTTCATTGTTGTTTGCAATCAAATAAAGTACTGACTGTAATCCATATGGTTCTACCGGATAATAAATGTTTAATCTAAAACAAACTTTTTTTATTGCTCAAAATGTAGCATGAGGTCAAGAAATTAGGTCTTGTACATTTTTCTTAGTTTCATCTCAGCTTCATTATATTCACATGAAATATCAATTTTATGAATATATCATTCTATCAATCTTTACATTTTATAAAAATCCTTCCATTTTTCCATTTTACATAAATTATTTCAAATCCTGAGACAAAGTTGCTGTGCATTGCTCCAAGTTATTCACCATGGACAGACATTACAATAAAGTGCCATATAGGTGTTGGTGTGAATTTGTTTATATTTTATTTGGTTTAGAAAGAAAAAAAAAAAAAAAGACACTCAACTGTATAACACTGAATGCACTTTTGACGTGAAGTGCTTTTTGTACTGGCAGTTTTTATGCGGTGATGGATTCAATAGTCTGATAAACAAATATATAAAAATAAATAAAATCATAAATACAATATACAGGTTAAAAAGGAAATCATTAAAACAAATCTCACATTAAGTCTGTGCAAGTCCTCTGAAAGTGTTTTAGGTTTGTTTTTTTGTTTTTTTTTTAATTGGGAATGACTAGGAAAAAAAAAAGATTTTTAAACAGTTTTCAACACACTTGAAGAGAAACACAGTTTGTGCTTTGGTGAAAGTACAATGTTTTGAAATGTAAACACTTGATGCAGCCAAACTGGACTGGAAATCCTCTGTGGACCATTGGTCAGACACCAGAAACCTTCTCAGGTCCTGTTCAAGCCAGTTAAGCATCAATTTTACTGAAAATCCAGATTCCCCTCCAACTCCCCTACAAATCCCTATGTTAAAAAGAGTAGCCTCACATTAAAACAGAGACAGCAGACTTATTCCACTTTGATTAGGTAACGAGAAGAAGCAGACAACTTGTGGAGCGTGAAATGGAAAAATAACATTAATGCTGTTAAATGTTACAGTTCTCCTAAAATCTTCACTGAAAACATCAAGGCGACTACTCTTTGGTTGAAGGGTAATCCCTCACAGGTCTGTGCAAAATACAAAACGCTGCTGCTGATGACACATTTGTCAGTGGCCATTCAGCAAAACACAGAAATGTGCTGGAAGAGCTTAAATCATCAGCTGCAGGGAGAAGCTCCATCCCAGCATCTTTTGATAAGACAAGAGATTCCAGTCCTGTGTCTTCACCAGGTGTCTGCCCGCTCTGAGCAGCTCACTGCTCCTTCATGATGTAGACATACACTGTAGTGAGAAAATATTTGAAGGAATCCATGACAGATGATAGCCAAGGCCGTTCAGGGGTGCAGTCCATTTTCACCACGCACTTCATGATTTCTGCCTGAAGACATGGAACATAAAGAGCTGATTTGAAAATGTAATTTCTGACGCCAGCAGTTTGCTGATTTACAAAGAGATTTATGACACAAAGCTAAAAGACACCTAGTTTACTGCCCAAACCTTTCTATAATAGTGTTTAACACATGTTCAGTAAGTATTATATTATGCTTCAATACAAAAGGAGCCATTTTCTAGATTACTGCTTTATTTATGTCTTGGTGCTTAACTACATATTTGTCATATTTTCATGTAATTGTTAAGAAGAAGCAAAAATGGTTATTAGATATATTGATTTCTGCACCACCTGAACATGTACATGCAGCTTAAAATTGCTTTTCTGTTTTAAAATAAATATATTCAGACTCAAAATTTCAATCATTAACTTGATTACTTTAAATAGGCTGTAGTTTGTAGATCTATAATGTACAAAAACTACAGCAAAAGTGAAGTTTAGGCATTAAAGCCATTTCACTGATTTATTCCAGATTAACTTTTGCAGTTTTATGTAAACTAGGGTCGGTTTGCAGCATAGTCTTGCTTCAGAATTATGGCTTAGTTCCATAAAATTTCAGACAGCACAGAAGCAGAAACTCACCCATCCTCCTTTCCTCTTCAGCCAATGGACGAGAAACTTACGGACAAACTGTCCAAGACTGTCCACTATAATGTGCACTGTTGTGGGGTGTCCCTGTCTGACACAGTCTACTGCCAGGGCTCCAGCTACCGCATACATGGCTACCACTTTACCCCATGTAATACCTACAGTAAAAACACAAAAACATTGAAGATATGAGTGCATTAATTTCAATCAATAATTGTGTACTTTATGAATAGGGGCATAAAAATGAGTTTTTCACAACCAAAGTATTGCAAAACATGAGAAAACACAATTGTTTTGTCTCAGCAGCTAAAGCTGCTTCTGATTTTCTATTAGTCAATGGGCAGAGCAAAAATAAAACAAAGGAAATCCATTTCTCCTCATCTGGGATGCTACACTCCTGGACAAAAATCGATAAGACTTCTATTTACAGTGATCCTTTCCAAGCACCTCTATCCTCTGAGGTTTCTGGTAATGATCATGACCCAACGCTGGACATGTACAGCCATTGGACCTTGTGCTGAAAGAAACAACGCCAGGTTCAACTGTCATTATGACTGACTGGAGGACTTCTGAAAACTGCTAGCTACACTTTCAATTAAACAAAATGAGATTAATGTCAAGGTCTAAAGCTGGGCAATTAAATGCATTTGTAATATAATCGCAATTTACCTAAATGATTTTCAAATCACAGAGGCAGACGTTTTTAAATCACACTCTACTGAACGGTAAGACACTAAATTTCTCACTCCAGGCCTTTAAGTGGCGGTTAAATGCTTGAAATGAGTTTGTCTTCACACAGAAAGGCAGAGTTGCCGCTAGCATGCAGATCCATGCAAGTTTAAGTAAGAACTTTTACACTAGAAAGGTCATAGTAAAGTCCTGCAACAATGGACTCTGGGCAAGCAATCATTCAAAAACTGAAAGCCTGAATTAAAACATCTACAAGCTTGGGGTTAGTGCAAAGAAAAAATAAGATCACAATCGCAATTTTTTTCCCTTTACAACCAAACCTTTAATGTATTTCACCTAACAGACCAACACAACGCATGACAGAACTGAAAGGTGGATAGGAATTATACATTTGGATTTAAATAAATAAAAAGTGCCATGCATTTGCATTTAGCCCTCTTTACTCTGATACCCCTTACTAAAATCCAAAGGGAATAATTGCTTTTGGAAGAGAATTTATTGGTAAATGCATTCAGAGACCACCGGTGTGAAAATATATCCACCTAAAAGGACAGACCAAGCAAGATGAACAGAAACTAGAGAAGCAATGAAGACCCCATGGTAACACTGGAGGAACACAAATCAGGAATTAGAACCTACCAAAGGGGAAACTATTAATCCTTTAGTTAGGGCTGGACAATTAATTGCATTTGCTATATGATCACAATTTAGCAAAACTATTTTCTTGTAGCAGATGCACTCTAAATTAATGTAATTTTATTTTTCTCATAGTAAATTGTGATGATCTACATCAACGGACTCTATACAAGCTTTCAAGATCATGAAAATAAACAATGAAATGGAGTGAAACATCTAAATGCTTGTGGTATGTAGGGAATCCGCAATAAAATCGCAGCAAAATTGCAGTATCAATGGAAAAATCATTCAGCCCGACTTCCAGGCAACAGAATAGGATAATGCAAGAGAGGCATTAAAAAGAAAAATCCAGTATGTTATCAGAGAAAACCAAACTTGAATTCTGTGGCGTTCATGGAAATCCCCACATGTGGAAACAGAGAGGCTGACCAGTGCTAAATGGAGCAAATCAAAGGTGGTCAACCTTAAAGTAAAATCTGTTAGAAGCTGTTAAAAGGCCCAAGACTTAAGCAAAGGTCCCCCCCCCCAGCAGCACACCAACCCGAATACAATAGAATATTTTAGATTTTAAGGTCCATCTATGTGTTAAATTAGCCCTGTCAAATTCTAGACTTAAATCCAGCTATGAATCGGTGAATAGACTTCAGAAACTATTATTCAGACATTCCATGAGAGGGACAGTGTTTAAACTATTTTCAGAAGAATAAAAGACAAAAACAAAAATTTCTAGAAATGCAAAGATAAAAGGGTCATACAACAAAAGACTTGCAGGTAAATGGACTCTCAACAAAGTAATTATCTAGAGGGCTGAAAATAAAAGTTTTATTTATTTCATTATTTATCCTTTATATTATCCAAAATAAATTATTTTACTAGTGCATCCAGGTCAGGCAGCTTGGGTTTTACATGTCAGCCACAGCAAAAAGAAAAAAGAAAAAAAAAGGCGAACATACAGAAATACACAATTAAAAAACTTAAAAGATTTACGGAAACCAAATTATCAGAAGCAACACCTTTTAAAAATGTGAATACAAGTAGCCAGTTCAAACAGCTGCATGCTGATGTTACAGCTTTCCTATCTATTAAAAATATTTTAAAGCATTCTACGAAGACCCACTCCCTTTAGTTTTAGATCATTTTGTAGAAGGTTCCAGGGATAAGGAGCTCTTAGACCCTCACTTAAGTCCAACAATGGCATGAATGAGCCACCAAAAAAAGACTCTTCTTGGCCTCAAAGGACAGACAAGCACAATTTCGGGGGAAAAAATGGCCAGCCTAATTTCGTTTTACAAGTTAATAGATACAGAATATAAGTAACACTCTGTTGTCAATCACATATTCTACAAAATATATTTGATAATCTCTCTTTTTAAAAGGCATTATGTAAGTTTTTACTGAAAAATAACTTTAAAATAGGCCCTTTTTTCCCTTTACGATTAAAACCCTGTTTGATGATCAGACTAATATCTCAGTAGTTCAGCACTGATGCCTCTATAAGCCTGTGGTCTATTTTCTTGAATTTACTTCAGGTCCAAATCTCCTGCCCTATTTCAGCGGATATGAGGTCAAGCATATTCACATTAAATGGGTCCTTCTAGCAAAACGAAGGATTCGTTATTGAGATGGAATTTGTGGATACCAAGAAGCGACTGGCATCCAGCTCAACTCCGACACTCCATTTGTGTGGAGTTTGATTAAGAATGTCTAGGTACAATTTTCAGAGACGTTAGTTCCTTCATGAAAGCTGTCAGTAATGTCATATAATTGGGTTCTTTTGGTCCTGCTTGCTTTGTCATGCATGTTCCACAGAGCTGACCTGCAGAATCAGTGCCTATAAGGGGATAGAGCCGTGGGTGAGCTTAAATGAGCTAACCGTCTGAGCACGTCATGTCTCAGTCCCTATTGAGAAGCAGGCTGAGAATAGACAAGATTGTCAGGGGTAAGGAGGAGGGCGGGAAGAGAATGAACAGGAGTGGGAGGCAGAAAAGGATAGATGGAGGAGAGACGAGCCATGTTGATCTTACTGGACAACAACAGAGCACAGAAGGCTGCTAGAATTTCTTTTTGGCTGAAGAATGCTAACAAATACCTGAGGGCTTAATTTAGAGTTGTAAAGTAAAAAAAAAAAAGGGGGGGGGGGCTTGTGATATTTTTGTTCTTTTTATTTGAGAAAAGTTATCAGCCTCTCTCAGAATCCTCTCTCTCCACATCTAAAGTTTGTTATTCCCCAGAAGGAATCCCACGCTGCTTCCACAAATTACAGCCCTGTGACGTCGGAATGAGGGGAACATTTGACCAGAGCGCAGGCATGAGGATTATATTAAGAAAATCTGTTTTTGGCATTTCCAGGCCGTGAGCCAAGTTTTGCATGCTCATCAGAAAGCAGTAAGCTCCTAACCTGTCCCCAAGGCTTACAACAGAAAACAGTTTTATTTAGAAACTTTAAAATGTCAGTGCTGTATTTAGTGAAAGAAGAACATCTGCTGCAGAGAAAATCCAGAATAGATAGACACATAAACTGAACGCCACATTCCTATTAACAAGAAAAAACAAATATTGCGTAATTAGTTTTTGCTGGAGGACTGTAAAAAAAAAAAAAAAAAAATGTTCAGGAAACAACAGTCACACAGTAAATTGCAATCTAGCTTTCCTATGTTGCTGTTCTTAATCAGTCTAATCAAATTCTATTTCCATTTATTTATAAAAGGAAAGAAACGTTTGCTTGTTTATTTCAGGACCATTTCTATGACATTTTGCTTTATTAAAGCAAATGAAACCTACGAGGTTTTCATTTGTCATTTACAAGCCTTTATCCAATTAAATTATTGAAGTCCTGACTTTTATAGGCATACGACTTACATCACAATCTCATTTTTTCATATTAAAGGATCAAATGACAATCTTTAATACAATGCACTAAAAATCCACCAAAATAGCCTGAAAAAATGTATTGCCAGATTAACTAAAAGGAATTGACGCTGTCAGTATTCACTTACAGTTTAAGTATTCACCAACTAGGGCTGAGTGACTATTTATAAAGATGGAGCTTTTGTATAAAAGTAAACCCACTTCACAAGTTTTGCATAAAGTCTCATTAACTCATGTCATATCTTCACATGGCATCTCAGTGTCAACTACTTAATGGACACAGTTTATATGGGTTGTTCAAGACCCATCCGTCACTAATGCTGCATGTGAACCTCTTTTTCAAAACACTTAAAGTGTAACTCACCCAAAAATCAAAATTTTTTTGCGTTTACGTTATATGTACAGGCCATATGGAGTGCCATTTTAATTTTACTGTGAATTTTTATACATTTTCATGAGCGATGTTTTTTTTTAGCTCTTCAATATTTGCCTCAAAACATATTTTTGCTGCCCCAAGGTATAGAACAGTGACTCTTGCAATTGAATTTTTCGACTGGTACAAACAATAGATGCTGTTACATCCTTTTGACATCTTTGCCCTACGTTCAGGTCTAAACACAACTAAGTGGGAGACACACTCCTCCATAACAAGTCCTCCTATCCTTTGCCACTTCGGTAGCAATGGCTTTGGGTAGCGCTAATTTAGCACCTTGAAGAAAGTGGCCAATCTGATAAGGCTGTGGTCCTCTTGGATCCACCAAACCTTCTTCAACATCCAATGCTTCTGGTTCAATAAGGCTAATCTAGGCTAGGCTAAGCTAGCTGCCATTTTCCTTTTTCTGACCATACCTTTGCTAAACCCACATCTTTTCATAAGGGGGAGTTTCACTTTAAACAGAGGACCTGGGCACCATTTTGCCATCTCAAACTGTTCTTCTAAAGGTCCAAATCAATCCACTAGTATGCTCACTGCCAAGTATCAGCAAGGCGGAACCAGCATTGCAGCTACATGGAAAATACATATAACATTTTTGTGTGGTGAAATATTGAGAGATTTAGTTTTTTTATATTATTCTCAGCAGATAGGAGCCTATCAAGAAAGGCTCCACTTCGGCCCTGCTAAATTTAGCCCCACCCCTCCCTCAGTTCTGTGATGCTGGCTTAATTAACGAGAGTTTCACTGTAGCAGTTTATAAAGAGTTCAGATTTTAAAGCCCATGCACACTTGGATGTTTGTGTAGTACTGGTTTAAATAAAGGATTTCAAATTATTGCCAACCTATAACGAGAGAGTACGGTACTAAAAAGGCAATGATGAATCCTGGGAAAATTCTAACATTCAGAATTTACAGAAATAAAATAATAATGATAACAAAATGGTAGTGCTCTCTGTTTCCTCCAAGCTAAAGAGCGATATTAATTCATACAATAATTTATTTTTACCTCAGGATTACATGAGGACATAAAAAAAAAAAAAAAAAAAAATCAACTAGAGCATCAGTTTAAAACAAATGGGGAATAAGGTTCATGTTTTTTTTCCAGGGGATCATATGTTGCTCCAAACCAAATGGGTTGAAACCATAATTAGAGCCAGTAAAACTCCAATTCAAACTTTACAAGTTTCTAAACGGAAACAGTTGTTTAAAGTTTTGTTTTTTTTCGTCCGTTTGTTTTTTTAGAGGTCTTCCTCCACCTATAGCTGATTCACACACACCCACTCACTCTTACCGAAAGCCCCTCTCAGGCAAACAAGGAAAACTGCAAAGTCATGGGGTTTAAATCACACTAACAACCTCCATCTGTGATTTGAACTGCAAGTCACTTCCTGTGCTGGAAGATATCCTACACGTTTAATAAACAACATGTTGACCATCATCACCACCTCCTCCTCCTCCTCCTACCTGCTGCAAAGATCTCCGTTGCCACGCTGAGGAAGGCATCTGAAACAACATTCTCCATGGCAACGGAAATGTTAAGCTGCCTTGCCACGTTCCTGTACAGAGTGGGCTGTATGCTTTCCAACTCATCGCCTAGGAACAGGAGACAGACAAAAAGCACCAGACTGTAAAAAGGAGAAAAACATTAAATCTAGACAAATCACTGCAGTCTGTCTAAAATGTTAATTAATCTGCAGATGTTAACATAAAGCACTTGGAAATGTCAACGGAGAAAAAAAAAGAAAAACACAGGCTGGGTTCATTCAGACACAGTGTTTTCTTCCTCCAAGCTGATGTCTTAAAATAGATGATAGAAAGAAAAGATGTGGGACAGAAATCGATTCAAGTCTGGTCAGTCAGTTTTCTTATATTTTAGGTGAACTATGTTTTGGTACTTTGCAGGGTGGATTTGGAGAATATTTTGTTTTCTTGTAGAACTAGATTTGGATGCAGATATCAGGGGGTTTTACATTAATTAGTGATTAAAAATACATTTAATTATCTTTTCTCCTCCCATGTCTGGATTAAATATTTTTAAAGTCAGAGTATGATAGAAGAGTACGATAAACCCATATGTGAAAAAAAAATTAACAACTGGTTAACAGCCAGTATTTCTTAATACATATAAAATAAGGGATTATTAGTTTATCATCAGCTATCTCCTTTAACTATCAGCTGTTTCACTTAACTCAAAACTGTTCATTAATATATATTTGGGTTAATCAGTCAGTTAAAAGAAAAATGTTTAGATCTTCATTTTGACACTTATAATGGATTTGTTTTTTTCATAATGATCAAAGCCAGTCAGCAGAAAAGTGTCAAGCTCTGATTTCTGGGAGCAAGGTTGCATCTCCACATAAATGGTGCCTTACAGTAACATCCAGATTTTTAGCTCAAATAAGACAGGTTATCATCCGAGACCCCTCCTCACCAAGACAAAGAAGCACCTGAGACACTTCAGCGACTGCTGCATTAGAGGGAGAGAAGTTAAGTTCAGTTTTGGACCATCCTAATCCATTCTGGTTGAGCCTGGAAAGGATGTAGTCTCTGCAAAGTGCTTTGGACTGAGACACCAGCTCTTTCTCGGTCACTGATCGGTCAAAGACATCCAGCACCTCTGAAGCAAACATAGAGGAACGCCGGAGAACATCCATGTCCTGCTGAAGAGGAAGAAGAGGGATCCGGGTCAGTGAGAGTCTGACCTCTCTGGGATCAGCTGTGTAATCAAGAGTGTCCTGGTTTTCCTCCCAGGGAGGGGGAGCCAAGTTCAGGGATGAGGATAAAACAGCTTCTGTGAGGACAGATAGAAATCAGGTTATCAGAAGGGTCAATCAAACAAATAGTTGCTGCAATAAAAAAAACTAAACATACTGTAGATCTATTAAGGCATTCAACGAACTAAAGAGATATAAAACTTATATAACAATATGATGGAGGCGTTATTGTTGTAAGTCACGTGGTGGAATAGTCAAGATATTGCAACACTTGTTCGATTATGCAACAACAAACGTTCACAGCACATAATTGATGAGGCAGAAGCAGAAGTATTTTTTAAATAAAAGTGCGCACATTGGTTTTAACTCGTGTTAAAGAAAAAAAACCTGAAATCATCTCCAATTCAAAGAGTCTCTTACCATGAGCATTTCATGCACTCATCTTTTTCTGACACAACTGGACCTGGTTCCGAATTTCTGGGGGAAAAACTTCCACTCAGCTGATCGATACTCCGCAAGTAACAATTCGGATTTTCAGGGAGAAATAAATAAATATATATGTATATTCCAGATTAAGGACGATCGGTTCTGGCTCTCATTCGCCACTCACTCCACTTCTTTCCGAGCACAGCACTGACTGTTAGGGAGCCGCAGTTAGAGGACGCCTACCTGTTGTTCCACCTTCCCATTGGCGCACGCTGGGCGCGCAGCTTTTACTGCCTGAAGAAGTCAGAAGCTGGAAGTTTCATGCCCGCCTCCGATTAAACCTTACAGGCAAACTCATCCCGGCAGCAGCATTGAAATAAATCAAGCGCATCTACTTTCATTCACAAATCTGGGTGGATTAACTAGCAGCCTGATGAATGCGCAGTTGCGCACAAAGGATTAGGTTCCCCTGCAGCGTTACCTAAACTGCTGGGTCATTTAAACAGATTTTAAGCATTACAAGGTGAGGTTCAAACGCGGACGGCTCCAGTCCAGAACTAAACCTTTGTTTATCAATCATAAAGTTGTTTAATTTAACATGCTTTTAATTTAGAGCAGTACTCCTACCAAGCGTTCTTTTAGGATATATTATGAATGTCCTGTTTTACACTCTGGAACCTTTTTTTGTATTCAAACTCAATCATTCATAGAGATTTGAGTTCACCTTAATGAATAGCATATAAAGGTTATTAGGCTGCTCTGTGTTTATTTTATCTAAATGTTTTTTTCACCCGCTGGGTGTCGCTGTGACTCATTTTTTGGAGAAGTTTAAATTATGAAAAATTGATGTCTAACAATTAAAGATAATAGTATTTTATTTTTTAATTTAAAAAATCTAAAACAAATGAAATTGTGAACAAAATTATTCTGTAACCAAACGAAAATGAGTGAAGTGCAATCAAATTTAATAAAGTATAAACATTTCAGTGCAATGTTTTCAAATTTCTTTCTTTTTCTTTCTTTCTTTCTTTCTTTCTTTCTTTCTTTCTTTCTTTCTTTCTTTCTTTCTTTCTTTCTTTCTTTCTTTCTTTCTTTCTTTCTTTCTTTCTTTCTTTCTTTCTTTCTTTCTTTCTTTAGTTGGTCTTTTTAATCCCACATCTGAGGTGTTTTTTAAATGAACTAAAACAAATTATTCTGGGCATTTCAAACTTTAAAAGACTTCTGTTTTACCTTTACAAATTCTTATATTCATATTTAATCCTTTTCAAAACATTTTCTTCTATCTTCGTAGGTCTGATTAGTCATTGAGACTTTAAAATGTATCTACACTAAAGCTATGGGCTACTGCTGTGCGACTTTGACCTTGAAACGGTCTTTCATTACTTTTTTAATCGATTTATCCTTTTACTAAAGCCATAAAAAAATAAAAGCCGGGCATAGACCTGTAATGGTTGTAAGTGCGCAAAGAGGACTGAAAATACAATAAAAGGGGAAACGTGTAGGTGTAGGTTTAATAAAATATCTAAAACATATCATTAAATTCAATGCAAATTTTCTTTAAATTGCCAAATCAAAATTTGTTTATTTCCTGATTGAAAAGCTTTTTTCTCTACTAAAATATCTCAAAAGATTCAATGAATTAATGTCAAAGTTCAACAAAGAAAAACATAATAGTGCTGTAAATTGTCAGGTAAATGACTACACTGACAGTGAAACAGTCCAAATAGACACTTTTTAATTTGCTTTGAATCTCTTAAGGAGTGATTGTTAATTTTATTTTATGCATACTTGTGCCATAACATAGTATACAAAGACAAGTGAAGCTACTGTTCGGATATCTCTGAATAAACAGTCAGTCAATGATGATGCTGCTGCAAATGTGCATCATAAATCTTAGATTTAAGATTAGCATCATTAATGCAGCAGCTTCAATAACCAGCTTTACTTTTGAAAATATTTTAATCTGTAAAATGTTTGTTTAAAACTCCATAGAATCTAACCTATAAAATGTTATTACTGACCATCTTTATGCAGCTGCATCTCATTTCTACATTTGCATTAACAAATCCACCTTGCTAGTATAAATTTAGAAAATATTATGCAATTGAAAACTTAATTAATTAAAAATAAATATTCCTGATGTTTCTAAATGCTGCTCTAAGTTATTAAGTGTTCCCAAAAGAAAAGAAAACAAACTTCATACTCACCAACTCATCTGCACTGAAGGTTCTCTAGTTTTTTTCCATGCTTTGGAAGCTACCATTTCTCTAATTAGCATGTCACCAGGGCAGTTTCAGAATGATCCTTCTCAAAGGAAAGCATTGGGCGATAAAGAAAGACACTCCCCCTTTTTTACTCCCATGTGTTTTTGTTTACATTCATAAGTTAAGATGAGAAAAAAAGATTTTCAGCTACAGTGTGGATGGAAACTTCCAATACTTTTTCTGGTCTTTTATAAAGTTTCCAGATGTTGGTGTTACAGACTTGGTTTTCTCCTCTTTTTTCTGTTTTCTTTTTCTAATAAAATGTCACTGTATGAAACAGCAGAAAAATACTTGATAATGGTGTATATTTCTGAATGTAGGGGACATGAGTCTGTCAGTTATTTTTATTTGTATCTATACTTATAACCATTAAGTCACTGCACTTTTTTGATCAGAGTCCTTCTTCATAATTAGTTCACATTTTTTGTGTTACATTTCAGAAACGATCCCCCTACCCCTATAGAAAGAAAGTCAATCTTAGCTGTGGATGGCTCTTTCTGTGTCTGTTTTGTTCAGGAGTTTTCTATAATTTAGGCCCAGAGTTCACCTGCAGCTTTTACAGTGTTTCCTGTTACTTAAAACATTCACTTTTTGCTGGTTTTGGAGCATTTGGGAGTCTCTTCCTGTTTAGGACCTAAACAGAAACCCTTGTGATAATCTGATATATAAAAACACTGCAGATTGTTTATTGTACTTTTACTGACGCTTTTATGTAACACTAAGGAAGGATTACAGCAGGCAGTGAAAGCATTGAAAGTGAACCTGGTTGACCTGATGTGTAACTTTGGAGCTCTATATGCACAATAGTTAGGTAAGATATTGTTGTAAACTAACTGTTTTCATCCTGGTCCTATCAAACCAAACCCAGCTGATGTTCAGGTGTTGACTAGTATGAAATAACTTTATTACCTTGATTAAAAGTGACTAACTAGTGATTTAAAAGATGCCTCAAGGTCAAAACTCTACAAATCCAAATGCAATACAGGGAACTATAAGATGATGCTGATTTGATAACATAACAGAGAATTACCAGGAAGTTAGAATTTCTAGAACTTTTACTTGTCTGGACTGTCCGGGTTTTCCGAAACGTGGTTGAAACAATAACCTCTGAAAAGAAAAGGTTAAAGTTTGTGTTTGGGTCAAGTCATTCTTGCGATGAGATTTGTGAATGTGTTAAAATGAATGAAATGTTAAACAATGGTAGAAAATAAAGAACTGGAGCATTAAAAAAATTATTTCTGATGATATATATATATATATATATATATATATATATATATATATATATATATATATATATATATATATATATATATATATATATATATATATATATATATATGCTATATGCTACAGCAGATTCCAGGTAAAACATCATCCAGAAGGGCGCAGTCCTAGGAAAGGCAAAGATACTGCGCAGAACCCTCAAACTCCCAGGCCGCTGGTAGAGGACCCGAGCTATATATATATATATATATATATATATATATATATATATATATATATATATATATATATATATATATATATATATATATATATAGAGAGATATATATAGAGATATATATATACATATCCTTCCCATTAAGGGATTAAAGAGACTAGAGAGAAATCAAAATAACACACTTTATGGTTATAATTTATTTGCTGTCAGGCACGCACCGGCAACCTTTAATCATTCATGGATGAATTAAAAATTTCAAACAAATAAAAAAAAGTAGAACATGGTATAATAATAGCCCGCAATAATAACAAGAAAACACAAACCATCTACAATCACTCACTGGTGTTTCTCCTTTGTTATACAAGAGAGACAAAAAAAAAACACACAAAAAAAACAAGTTGGATCGGAAAAATTCTTAGTTATGATGTTGCCTAATAATCCTGCATACCTCTTTGTTGCTTAATGACTCAGATCCATATAATTCTGAGAAACAAACTGAATTTTCCTATAATAGATATTTTAGAATAAATGTTTTATACATTCTAAAAATATCGGTTGTAATTTTTAAAGAAAAACTTTTTGCTATCCTTATGAACTGCATAGGAAGGTGTGCTCAAACTTTAGAAGTCCTTAAAGACCGCTCGCCATTGCACCAGAGCATATTTGCAATTGTTAGAGGGTGTGAATCCTAATGTGTATGGAATATTCCACAGTATCTTGAAAAAAAGGCAGTACAATATCTTGAAAAAAAGGCAGAAAACATTTATTTTCCGTTTGATATTGTGGTTAATTTTAAGAGATGAGTAGGAAAAAGCTGAAATAAAAATAATTTTTGAAACAGCTCTAAACATACATTAATTAAAAACAAAAAATCATGATATTCCTAATTCATTCTCTCTGAAGGGGTCTTTTTAAATTTTCCAAGTTTTGTGTCAGTCGAAAAAAGAAATACAAAAGTATTTTTGGTCAGAAACTGTGCTGTCTTGCAAGAATTTCACTATTGCAAAGATTGCAGATTTTCCTCACAATGGGCTGCTGGTCATTGCACCTCATTATGCAACCACAACAAAGAGGTACCAGAAAGTAACGCATTCCACGGATGTCAGTGTCACAGGTTTATTTACGAGACATGGTGGCCATGTGAACGTGGTGTTAGATAACAGGTGTTTCATAAACTAACATGCTAAAAGACACATGTTCACATGCATATCAACTAGGGCTGAAACAACTCATCAGATTAATTGTGATTAATTGATTATTGAGCACTTTAAATCGTCCATGTAATGACTATTACAGTGCAAAGAAAGTTGCCTTGCCATTGACATAACCGTAAAATATATTAGTAATCGATTAATCGTCAACTGGAGACTCTAAAACATGCCTTTAGCTGACAGAGCAATCCACTTAGAGCAATAACTATAGTAGAACAGTAATGTATATATATCTAAATATTTGCATTTGAAATAAAAAAAAAAATGTCCATCAATGTACTCTATTCAGAACTCCACAAGTGTAAATGTTAT